ACCGCGGTTCAATCCCCCAGCACCACATGCCAGCCAGCCCCGCCCCCTGGTGGGCTGAGCTGGCCACACACACACACACACACACACACATAAATAAAATAAAATTTAAAAAAAAACAATTAAAATTCAAAATAGGGTTTCTACTGAGTGCCTATCACTTTTGCCCTATCACAAAGTTTAAAAATATAAATCAAACCAGCATTAATTTGGACCACTTGTATATGTACAAGTGATATTATTGGGCCTTTCAAAAGGAGACTGTGTACCACAGTGTGCATGTACAGAGGATAGAACACTATGTGAAAGGTTCAGGCAAACAGAAAAAATATTCTACATGACCTAACACGAACAACCTAAAAAAAATAAATAAAAGTCAAGTACAAAGCAATAGACTAATGCATTGGCTACTGGGGAGCAGTAAAGCTAAGGATGATGAAATGGGGAGCCGTAAGTTACAAAAAACCCTAGCAATCTAAAGTTCAACATAAATATTATAGCTGAAAGGGCTGGTGAGATAGCACAGTGAACCAAGTGCCTACTTAGGCAAGCACGGGGGCCAGGGTTCAAGCTCTGGCACCTCATGCCGTGCTGGCCCCAGCCCCAAGGCATGCTGAACTGGCAATGGAGTCCAGGAGTGGTGATGCATGCCTTGAATCCCAGCACTAGGGAGGCAGAAAATGGAAGGATCACTACAAGTCTGAGCTGCGTAATGAGACCCTGCAGGAAAAAAAAAAAAAAAAACTGAAAATACCATATTTAGGAGTTTTACTGAAAGAGTAGATTTTAGGAGTCTTACACACACAATGCAAGTAATTTTAAGATAATGGATGTTAATTTGCTTGACTAGAGTAACTGCTGTGCACTCATGCTGTCCACACTCATTTCATGTTTATGCCCTATAATAAATAAGCGAACATACATAACTCTCAAACTAAGGGAAGAAATGCATACTATACAACAGGGAGTAGCAACAGAAGTAACAAAGAAGTTCAGGATCTCAGTGCACATTTCCCCAAAAGAATTCCTGTCCGTCTCTCAGAAAAGTCGCCATGACCATAATTTTGGCATTTTCCATTCATATGTACTTTTAAACACTTTGCTATATATGTATATAGGCTCATTTATATATACAAATTTTCATTTTTAAATATGAAGTGATTTTGTACAGTTTGCATTATCCTATGCTTAACATCATCGAGTACAAGAAAAAGTGGGGTCAACTGAACATTCAACCTGTTGACACAGTTCTGATTTAGTACAAGGTAGGAGTAGGGTTAAGACAACATTCAACCGTGTTGACACACCTAATTCTATCTCATTTATTTTTACACATACAGACTACCCCATTGTACCAATAGACAATCTATCAGTTATCCATGTTGATAGGCATTTAAATTTTTTCTATAGTCTTTTACTATTAAAAACAATGTTGGGTGGCACAAGCCTGTACTTTCAGGACATTGGGAGGCAGAGGCAGGATGATCAAAGTTTAGCCTGGGTAATTCGTCTCAAAATGAAAATAGTGGGACATAGGTTCAGTCCCCAGTACCAACGAAGAAGAAGGAGAAGGAAGAGGGGAAGGAGGAGGAGAAAGAGGAAAAGGAAGAGAAAAAGGAAGAAGAAAAGAAATAATGTAACATTGCTAAAGTCATTTCCTTGCCCATATAGTCCAGAGTATTTTTTTCTGCATTTATAGACCTCAATGTCAAAACCACTGAATTGTAAGATTCCTTCCAATTCTTTTTCAGGATATATA